ATGATAGAATCGAAGCCCATTGAAAAAAACTACACTCATAAATTCAACATATCAACCTTGGATCAAATCAGTGAGTTGATACAACAACTATCATCTGGATTAGGTGGGGCAGGTACAAATCCACCAGTGTCATATGGATCAGAATATTCGCATCTTGTCATTAAAGGAATATCTTCATGGGAAGATTCGTGTGATGGTTCTGAGTGACGTGCAGTAGGAAATGATAAATGGTGTTCTTGAAATGGATTGGTACCGTGGGCCAAAGAAGCCTGTAGGCGAAGTGAGAAAGGATTTAATTAGTTCTTGGACATATAGAGAGATTCAATACGTCTTATAAGAGAATACAAGAAAAGGTATAGCATTACATAATGACTGGCTGGGTGCTGTGAAGACAGCTGAAGCACTTAAAGAGACACTCTATGAGATCGAATGACTTTGAGAGTTGGACCAGAATAAGGTGAATCAATAGTTGAATGATGATGAGTTGTAGTAGTAATAGGTGTTCGTTCAGCTTCCGAAGGTGCTAATGAGATGATGTTTACTTTATAATAGTTGCTATTGGTAAAAGTTAAGGTGGGTGAAGTACTTGAGCTAGGCTTGTTGTTCTGACTACCGGTTGAGCTGATATTACTAGAGTTGTGTTCATTGATGGTAGTTTTGGTAAATTCGTTGTATTCGGTCTGTAGATGAGAATGAAATCAAACGAGTCAAAAGAATGGGACCCAAGAGATGAGTTGTTCAGTAAGAAAATCAGGTGGTGAGTTGATGCGCAGGTCTGAGCGGTACAGGTTTTCAAATAGCTTAGGCAACCTTAGGGTTGCTTAGGGTTGCTGAGGTTTTTGATGAGCGGAAGATTTTGTTTTTTTGAAAAGAGCTTTCCCTCACCAAACTTCGACCAATCTACCCTTCTTGACGTCGAGAACGGAGGTGGTGGACGCAGTGATAGATCCTCGCTTCTCAAAAAAAACCAATTGCCCCATCCTTACTTCTCAAAAATTTCAGCTGTCCCTTATTTAAAATGAAGATGGTACGCGTCAAGATTGATCCACCTCGAATATCTTCACAGCTCCTGACCAAGTTAGAGCTACTGCGCAAAGATGGGCATAATCTGGATGCGGTGGAAGACATGCTCAAATACGTGGATCACCAAAAAATGGAAGATTTTGCAAGCATTTCAATTCGTTTGAAGCGCAATGGTTCCAACTACGAAAGCTGGCTCTACGGGGTTAATGAAGTCTATCGCTGGTTCTCTGGCAAAGGTTTTTACTTGTAAGAACCGCCCTCTTCAATCACATCAATACACAATTGGCGTTGCAGATGAGGTACTTTTGGCAATTATTTGTGCTACCGTGCATCCCAATGTGCGTCCAGTGGTTTGTATGGCCATGTGTGCTCATGACGCTGTCATGTGGGTTAATTGGTATCACAACTGTGAAGGTGAGCTTGGAACCTTCATTAGTTAGTAATAAATACTGATCATACTGATTCAGTTCCAAAGATTCGGGTGGGCTTTCCATGAATAATCAGGGCGAGGTCATCATCTTCATTGATTGTGAGTACTTTATCATCATAGATCTGCAAAAGATTTGTTTGATTGACAATTCTTATTCCCTTGGCCAACCAGCCAATGCTATATAGAATTTTTGCGCACTGACTGTGATAAATTTGATGTTTATATTCAAAGACTTTAGATGATTGTAACAGCAACTACATGATTCTTATGATGGGATATCTTTCATGTTTATCATCAAGGTGTTATATATAATTGTAATAACAAGTGGAACATCATGCTGTCTATGAAATCCAAAAGGGGCTGCATCATTCACCAAAAATGTTAACCCAATGGGAAATTGCAACAGTGTTCAACTGTTCTCTGAGCCCTGGTCATTACCTTTTTTTGCTGGACGTGGTTCAGCCTTCCAAACGTTGAGACCCTTGGTGATGGCGTGGTTCCAAACCTCAGGAGGAACTGGATTGAGTTGATAATCCGAAAGCCCACGGTGAACATGGCCATTGTAATGTGATGCCGCGTTGAGGATGA